GACCCAAAAGCTTGTGTTTCACAGTGGAGGCCAAAGGTGAGTCCTTAGCTTTAGGTTGGGGCTCGAGGCAGGAAGGTTTGTTCCCCCTTCTTTTTTTTTTTTTTAAATGTTTTATTTATTTCTAGGAGAGAGAGAGACAGCATGAGCAGGGGAGGGTCAGAGAGAGAGGGAGTCACAGACTGAAACAGGCTCCAGGCTCCGAGCCGGCAGTCAGCACAGAGCCCGACGCGGGGCTCGAACCCACGAACCGCGAGATCATGACCCAAGCGAAAGTCGGACGCTTAACCGACTAAGCCACCCAGGCGCCCCGGTTTGTTCCCCCTTCTGTGGGGAACCAAACTCCCATTTTTCTTTCTGGGCTGGATCAGTTAAAACGTAAACAGACTCGGGACCTGATTGCCACCCCACGTGCCCTGCTTATGCTGTCCCTCTTTGTTCCTGCAGTGTCGACCCAGCCAGCAGCCAGGCCATGGAGCTCTCTGATGTCACCCTCATTGAGGGGGTGGGTAATGAGGTGACTGTGGTGGCCGGCGTGGTGGTGCTGATTCTAGCCTTGGTCCTAGCTTGGCTCTCTACCTACGTAGCAGACAGCGGGAACCTGGGCACCATTGTGTCAGCTGGCGACACATCCGTTCTCCACCTGGGACATGTGGACCACCTAGTAGCAGGCCAAGGCCCCCCCGAGCCAACCGAACTTCCCCATGCATCAGAGGGTGGCGAAGAGAAGGCTGAAGAGGCCGGCGAAGGTGGGGGAGATTCCTCAGGGGAGCCTGGAGCTGGGGGTGGTACTGAGCCGAGCCTTGAGCATCTGCTCGACATCCAAGGCCTGACCAAGAGACCAGCGGGCCTGGAAAGCAGCGGTCCAGAGGCCCCCCTGAGATCTGAGGACAGCAGCTGCCTCCCTCCCAGCCCTGGCCTCATCAACGTGCGGCTCAAATTCCTCAATGACACCGAGGAGCTGGCTGTGGCCAGGCCGGAGGACACCGTGGGTGCCCTGAAGAGGTGAGTGGACTGGAGGGTGGGCGGCTGCTTGGACCCCGCGCCCTCGGGCCCTTGGTCACCTGGGAGGAGGCTGGGCTCCACAGGGATGTGTCGGGTCCGTCCGGCCCCCGCTAGGATTGTCTGGGATACTTCCTAGAAACTCACCTTTCGGTTTTTCCCTCATTGCCCTGCTCTGTTGGTCTAGGCCTGTTTGCCTTCTCATTCCTCGCCTTCTGTGTTTCCTTCCGCCTCTCCCCTCCGTACAGTAAATACTTCCCTGGGCAAGAGAGCCAGATGAAACTGATCTACCAGGGCCGTCTGCTGCAGGATCCGGCCCGCACGCTGCGTTCGCTGAACATTACCGACAACTGTGTGATTCACTGCCACCGCTCCCCCCCAGGGTCAGCTGTTCCAGGCCCCTCAGCATCCCTGGCCCCCTCCTCGGCTGCTGAGCCCCCCAGCCTTGGCGTCAGTGTGGGCAGCCTCATGGTGCCTGTGTTTGTGGTGCTGTTGGGTGTGGTCTGGTACTTCCGTATCAACTACCGCCAGTTCTTCACGGCACCTGCCACGGTCTCCCTGGTGGGGGTCACGGTCTTTTTCAGCTTCCTAGTATTTGGGATGTATGGACGATAAGGACATAGGGAGAAAAATGAAAGGCATGGTCTTTCTCCTTTATGGCCTCCCCCCTTCCCTGGCCAGAGCTGGGCCCAAGGGCTTGGGAGGGAGGGGTGGAAAGGATGCGGTGGGTCCTCCTCCTCAGGATTTGGGAGGCAGGTACAGGGCCTCCCCTTCACGTCCACGACAGTACCGACAGACATCCCCTCTGTGCAAGCACAACTCAGGTAGGAAACGAGGATGTCATCTTCTTTCACTTTTAGGGTCCTGGAATTCAGAGCCGGGCTGGTGGTCTAGCTCGGTGGGCAGCCTGGGCCCCGAGGGTTCCCTCCCAGCCGTGGCCCTAGCTCTTTCCATTGTCCTGCATGTCTGCTCCTCGGAACCCAGGGCCGCCTGCCAGGGCGGCTCAGCATGGCCCCAGCATACTTCTGTAGGGAGCCTGGAGTCTTTTTCTGTTTCTTAAGGGAATATTCATCTTTTGGGACTAAAGTCACACAGCAGGAATGAAGGTTGTGTCTGCTTCCCCTCTAGGCACCTAGCTGCCTCTACCTTCTCCCTCCACCCCTGTAGCAGGAATAGGGTGTTCTCTGTGTTCTGGATAGTTTCCAGTGTTCTCCCCTCTTTTCAAAGCACTTTGCTTGTATTTTTTTTTTAATAGTCCTTTATAGAGCTCAGTCAGGAAGGGGATTGGGGCACGAAGCCAAGCCCCCAGCATTGGGAGAGGCCAAGCCACAGCTGCTGCTACCCTAGGCCTAAGGCTGTAAGCAAGAGACCGCTCTGGCCCTCGGCCAGTGTCCTACCCTGCCCAGCTCCAAGGGCGAGCTCCGGGTACGGAGCCCTGGGCCCAGGCCCTTGCCTCTGGGGCTCGTGGATGGAGGGTCAGTGTCTGTGACTAAATAAAGTTCCATTTTGTGGCTGTGGAGCCTCCTTCTGTGACATTAAGAGAATGGCTTTGCTCTGTCCCCATCGACATGGTAATGAGGGTGGATAGGCTGGGCTACCAACGGGAGATGCAGTTTATTTACACCAGCAGCCATGGGGGCAAGGGAAATACACAGCGTTTACAAAGTTAGCTACCTGTACAGGATGGATTACATATGCAAAAATAAAAATCTCAAGACCACAGGACAGCGTGAGCCCCACCCCCCTCCCCCAATGACCCCAGCATGCGGTAATGCCAGGCGGGTGGCCCCTGGGCATGCGGGGGGGAGTGATGCATGGAAGGAAAAGCCACCGGCCATGGAAATTAGTACAGAACCCCCCCCACACACACTCAGACACATGATAGGATACAGGGTGGACGACACCTAGCCGGGGTGGGAAGGATGGGAATTGAAACCCACACAGCCTGCTGTTAGAGGGAGGGGAGTGGGGAGCTCCTAGCCCCTGTTCAACTACATGGTAGGGGGGGGCACACTCTCCCCGGAAGGAAAGGGTTTGCTCCCTCAGGGTCCCTGCTGGACCAAGCCCATCTCTTACCCAGCTTGGGCAGGGGGCTCTGCCCTGAGGGCGGGCCAAGGAACAATGGGGAAGTGGATGTGGACAAACCAGTTCCCAAACTACTTCCCACTTCTCCCTCCTCCAACCAGAAGGGGGAAAGGGAGAGGCCAGAGGGGAAAGGGTACGTACGGTAGGGCCTGAGCAGCAGCTCTCTCAGAAGGGAGAATGGTCCGTGGCCTTCCTCCCTTCACCTTCAACCCACTCCCAAGACTTCATTTGGGAGCAGGCTGGAGGCTGGCTGAAATCCTCCTTCCCTTCTGGCTTCCCCTTGAGGGAGAAGGCTATGGAGGGTCGAGAACAGAGGAGCCCAGGCCCCAGGATTTATTCTAACTCCTGCCAAAACGTGTTTTGGCTTTTTAAAAAATAATCACAATTCTTGGGTTAAAAACCAATTTGTAACCAGGCGTCAGCCACGATCAGAACCACCCCAGGGGGCGGTGGGGGGGGGAGGGGATTGGGGTTCCAGACGGGACTGCAGCCCTATCTCTTGTTGTTCCCTTAACCCTCTAGGGTCCCTAACCCAAATCAGTCCAACCAGTCCTGGGTACTAGCTACCCAAATGTGGGATGGCTCCTCCTGGGAAGAGGGCGGGGGACACATCCAGCAAGCGCCGGACAACACAGCTCAGGGTCAACTCCGCGCCCGTGTCATCAGTCAGCTCTGCGCCGGCCCAGACTGCAGTCCTCCAGCTCGGCTCCTGGGAGTGATGGCGCCCACACGGACGTGGGATGGCAGATCTCTTCAGGACGCAGACCAGGCAGGTGGCCGTGCTGGCAGGGCAGTCCCACAGAAGGGCATGACATCCCTTCCCCCTCCACTGACGACCCAGCGCACGGAGACTAGCCTCTTCCCACCCCACTCCTAGCAAGGGGGGAGGGGGGGAGGTAAAAGATCAGGATTTTCCTCAGAGCCCCAAACCACAAGTACAGAATAAATAACTTAAAAGAGGCTAAAGAAGGGGACACAGGGCAGGCTTCGGAGGCAGGAGCATCGAGAGAGGAACTGAAGCTGGTCAAGGTGAAAGAGGGGGGTCAGCAAGCAGCAGTTGGGAACTCGGGCTGCCCTGCTAGGGCAGTGGGGCAGGGTAGGCGGGAGGAACATGGGGCCACCCCAGGAGGGTGAGGCTGGGCCCCTTCCTGGGGCAGGGAATGAGGTAAGAAAACATTTCAAATAAAGCAGCACCGTTCCCTCTTACCTTGGGGCCCCACTCCTCACCAGCCCTGGGTCAGGGAGGAAAGGTAGGGGGGGGAGTCTTTTGATACACAGCTCCCTCTTCCTACCCTCCCCTTGCCCACCCCTTGAAGCTGTAGAGGCTGGAGGCCCTTTCCTGGCACCCAACAACAAAAGGACAGCTCCTGCTGCCAAGGAGGCCCGTGGGGACTGAGGGGAAAGGGCTGCCCCTGTGAGGGGCAGGGGAGGCGGTGGCAGTTCCGGACACCCACCTCAGCAGACAGCTTGCCGTGCCTGCCTACCCCTGGGACTGGGGGCATTTGCTAGGACTCTGCGCGCAGACAGGACACGCCCAGCCCTGCCCCTCAGCTCCAAGCACCGGACCCATTCACATTGCCGAGGGCGGCTGGGGGAGGCCCCCTCCAGGCTCAGCTTCCAACCCACAGCCTCCCGGGTAAGCCACGAGGCCCCTCGGCAGGGCTTAGTCCAGTTCCTGGGGTGGGGGGGGCAGGCAGTGCCCTGGCACAGTGCCCAGGTCAGGCCCCTGGCCTAGCTGGACATCCAGTAACTCACAGAATAAATAGGAAAACCGCCTCCCCACCAAACTTATGTCCGAGGCATAACATGTCCAGGTCTGAGTCCTGCACGCCAAGGGGTCGCGCTCCCTCGCAGAGGACCCTGACACCCCCCAGGGGCGCAGGACTGGATCCTCTGCTTGCCTGGCCCACCAAGCTTCCCAAGCCCAAACCCCCAGCAGCCGTCCATTTGCCAGGCTTTGCCACCTGGGTGGGGGTTGGGAGAGAGGGCTCTGCTCAGCCAAAGGCTATCCCTTGCACCCAAGTCAGTTGATGTCATCGTAGATGCTGGGCGTCGGGGGTGCCGGTGGCTTTGGCTTCTTCTTCTTGTTGGAGCCTAGGCCGGAGGCAGTCCCTACCAGGCTCAGATGGGATTTCTTTTTCTTGGTTTTCCGTGACTCGGAGCTGTTGGTACCTGAAAAGAAAGGCCCGAGGAAGGAGGGTTGGGCTGGGTCAGGAGAACACAGGTGTCCCCGCACCCTCGGCTTCAGCAGAGCGCCCGGGGGAGGGCCCAGATGTGTCACCTACCTAGACCCCAACCCTGATTCTCACTCGTCTTGGAGGAGCCTGAATCAGAGGGTGAGAGATCAGAGGAGCCGTCCCACTGAAGCCGGCTGATCAGGGCCTGGCTGTCAGTCATGTCAAAGCTGTCGTTATCCAGGGAACTCTCGACCTCTGGAAGGACGCTGGAAAGGGGAGGGGCCGAAGAAGGGCTTGAGGGATACTGGTCCCAGTCTCCATCTCTCACAACCCACCACCCCTCGCGAAGGGTCGCTTACGCTGAGGGCCCAAGGAAGTAAATCCGCACGGCTCGCCGCTGCTCATCTGTGTGCTGGGGGCAGCGCAGGGACCTGGCAAGGGCAGAATTCATCAGACTCTCCTGACCAGGCAGGAAGGGCGGGAGGAACGGACAGACAGGGGGGCGGGGATAAACAGAGAGCCCCCAGATTGTGGCCGAAGGCCTGACCGCTGGAGGAGGGAGGGGAAGAAGGGGAGACCCACTGCTGAAGTCCATGGGCACTCCCACGCCATGCCCAGGATGGGTGTGCAGGAGGGCTCCCCCGCCCCCCTTCTAGGTTCCGAGCTCACCTTGTGCACATCTTCTTGGTGTGTTCAGAAATCACCCCGCATTGCTGGAAGAGGAATAGAAGCTGAAAGGAGGGGCGGAGGAGAGCCCACTCTAGGCACTAGATATTCTCCTCTGTACAAACACTAGACTGCACAAGCAGAAATGGTCCCGGGGTGTCCAGAGCAGACTGTCCCAGACCCCCGCTGGCCAGGAAACCTAACTGCAGAGAGAGTGAGCTACATGGCCCTGCCTGGTCACCAGCCTCCCTCCAGGGACGCGAGTGCTGCCTGTGGCTCTGGCCCACTCCCAAGGGCCCTCCCTTCCCGGGTCTCTCACCGTGGTGAGCAGGCTACGCAGCTCCTCCGGCCCCAGGGTCTCGTAGCTGATCCCAGTTGAGTTGTTATACTGGGCAAGAACCAAAGGTACAGGTCAGAGAAGGGGCAGCCCAGGGGGGAGGGGACAGTGGGGCTGGGGACCCGTCCCTCTCATCCTTCTCTACATGGGCCTGCCCAGCCGTGTTCCAGTGACTCTTCCCATCCCACGTGCCCACCGGGGAGGGGCTGGGACCCAGCAAGGCCGTAAATATACAAGACCTAGCTACCCCATCTAGTGCTCCGGGCCGTCAGCATCCTGACCCCACCTGTCCAAGTCCCTGCCCCCAACTCCCAACAAGGAAAACGAGAGAGAACCTGAGAGGGGCAGCACCTACTCACCTTAAAAGGATCCGAATTGCTAAGTTCCCCTGAAGAAGAAAAAAGAAGGGGAAGGGTGTTTGATGCAGAGGTACAGACAGAGAACCCTGAAAATAACCAGAGAGGAAGTGGGGGTGACAGAAGGATCACAGGCCCTCCCTCGATACCCCTGGCCCCTAAGCCCCCCACCCCCGCCCTCCGGCAAGGAGTCCCGGAAGACACAGCTAGAATCACTCCTGTTGCTCAAGACCCACTTACCATTTTTGTGTTTTAAAGACTTGGATCTTCGAGGGGAATTGGGGTTCTGGAATGGGAGATACCATAGCTTTGGGGAAAGGGTAACGATAAGGGGGAGCCGAGAACCCAGGGAAGGAAAAAAGATTTGACAAAGAAACATCCTCAAATTGCTACTCTTCCTCCCCAGTAAGAGGCCCATCTACCCCGATTCCCTCCTCCCCCGCCCCCCAGGGCCTCTGCTGCCCCCCTGCCCACCGCAGACACCCTCGGCCCGAAACCCAGAGAGGCACCCAATGACCTCAGACTTGAGCCAAGATACCCGAGGACGCCCTGCCCAAAGGGGCGGGTATCTGTCCTTCGCCCAAATTTCCCTCATGCTTGCCCCGGCTCTCACCTTGTCTGATTTTCTCTTCTTGGCTGTGGGGGGCAAAAAGGACAAAGAACAGGGTCGCTTTCAGTTCCCGATCTGAGGACCCCTTCAGAAAAGTACAAAGCTACGCTCTCCTCTCATTTGAGATGAAAACTTGCGACCACCACACTCCCAATTCCCACTTGCCCACCTCCCCCCGCCCTCCCCCAAGTTTCCCCCGACCCCCGAACACCTTTCTTCTCTGAGCCATAGGACCAGTCGTTGTCATTGATGTCATCGTTATCCTCCTGGTCGCTCTCCGACTTGTTCATATTGTTGCTATT